TTTCAAGAGGTATCTTTTATTCTTCTAGCCGCTCCAGGCTTGACTATTTCTTTTTGGTACAGTGGCTCTCTATTCCTTCCATCTTCTTTTAGTGCTTTCTGCAATAATCAGTATTTTGCCCATAACATCCTTCGGTATTACAGTCAAGGCTTGACATTTTTCATTCAGTTCCTCCAGCTTCAGAAATTCTGAGCATGTTCCTCCCTTTTGTTTTTCTAACTTCAGGGCTTTGCACATTTCATTATAATACTTGACTTTGTCTTCTACAGCTGCCCTTTGAAATTTTCTGTTCAGCTCTTTTGAACCCTCATTTCCTCCATTCACTCTACCATCTCTATGTTGGAGAGCAAGTTTCAGAGTCTCTTCTGACACTCATTATGGTCTTTTGTCTGTTTCTTGTCTTCTTAATGACCTTTGCTTTCTCCCTGTATGATGTTCTTGCTGTCCTCCCACAACTCTTCTGGTCTTTGGCCATTAGTGTCTATTGCATCAAATCTGTTCTTGAGGTGGTCTCTAAATTCAGGTGGGATATGTTCAAGGTCATATTTTGGCTCTTGTGAACTTGTTTTAACTTTCTTCCACTTCAACCTGAACGTGAATCTTGACAACTTGCACATTGCTAAGTGATTGAAGGTCTGTTCCACAGTCAGCCCCTGGCTCTGTTTTGGTTGACGATATTGAACTTTTCTATAATCCCTTCCCACTGATATAGTCTATTTAATTTCTGGGTATTCTATTTGGTGAGGTCCATGTGTATAATTACATTTTATGTCATTTAAAGAAAGTATTTGCAATGAATAAGTCATTGATCTTGCACAATTCTATCATGTGATCTCCAGTTTTTCTATCACCAAGGCCATGTTTTCCAACTACTGTTCCCTCTCTTTGTTCCAACTTCATACATTTCATGTTCTCATGATTAATGGATGTGTACAGCTGTTTAATTTTGAGTTGGACCTCATCAGGAAATGAAGGTCCTGAAAGCTTTACTCCATTCGCATCATCATGGTCAACTCTTCTGTGAAGAGGCAGCTCTTCCCCTGTTGCCATTTGAGTGCCTTCCAACCTGAGGAGCTCATCTTCTGGCACTACTATTGTGGTGGCTTGTGTAGTGTTATAATACTGGAAGCTACACCACCAGTATTTTATCAGCAGAGTCACCTATGATGGGTATGTTCCAGCCGAGCTTCCAGGTTAAGACAGAATAGGACGAAGGAGAGGCAGACTGCTTCTGAATGTGTAGCCGCTGAAAACCTTCTGAATAGCAGTGGGATGTGTCATATAGAGTGCCAGAAGGTGATGTTTACAGCTTTATGCACAATCTAACTGGGAAATGTAGAGACTTCTCTCTAGGAAGGCTAAAGAGAAGGGAATGGGGACCAAGGGTGATGAACAGATACATCACATGTGATAGAGCAATCTGATTCAGCAAGCCTCCACCTGTGCTACATACATAGAGCTGGCCCTTACCCTGGACTCCTCTTAGCACTACTTCCCCTTTCAGTAACCAGACATGGTTGTTGACAGAATCACCTCTGGAGCTTGTTATGCGGTTATGGCGTAGTAGATGTGGGCTAGGATCATCCAGAAATTTACATATTAAGACATGTAAAAGAGGGCTTCCAAAAGTTCATGGAAAAATTCCGTTAGCTTTTCATTCCTTTTCATCACAAATTTTTTGAAGCACCCTTGTATCCATATCCTGGAAATGGAGGGACAGCACTTTGGGAACCCCTGTTGTTGTTTGTTGTGTGACAACCAGTTAATTCCAACTCATAGTGATCCTATACATAACAGAGGAGATCTGGTCTAGAGAGCTTCCTAGCCTGTCATCTTTACAGCAGGCCAGGTCCCCTACAGAGTTGCTGGTGGGTTCACACCACACACCTTTTGATTAGTAGTTTAGCAGCTTAACTGTTGCACCCCCAGGAAACCCTTGTTGATGGTAAGTACTGTCGAGTCAGTTCTGACTCATAGCGACCCTGTATAGGGTTTCTAAAGAGTGGCTGGTAGGTTTGAACTGCCAACCTTGCAGTTAGCAGGTCAGTGCTTATCCTACAGCGCCATACCAGGACTCCAAGGAACCTGCTGTTGTTATTGTTATTGGTAAGTGCCATTCAGTCAATTCTGACTCAGAATGACCCTGTGTAGCGTTTCCAAGGAGCAGCTGGAGAGCTTGACCTACAACACCAAACCGGGATTCCTCTCAGTCCTCACAAAGTGCTCTCCTAACATATCACTGCTGTGGGCTCATGCGCCACACTGCAAAGCCGTTTGAACTGCAAGGTCGGCAGTTCAAGTTCACCAGCTGCTCCTCAGAAACCCTATACAGGGTCACTGTGGGTCAGAACTGACTCGACGGCACTTAACAACAACAACAACAACAACAACAACAACATACCATCAGCAGTGCAGAACTATTTGGTATGAGAGGACTCTAAAAAATTCGTGGAAACAAATTTCATCTTTTAATTCTTTTCTAGCTTCTCTCTAGATTTCTCTGCTTCCCTCACCCCTCATGTCTTGCTGAAGTTATGAGAGAAAAAATACTGACTCAATGCCAGCTCCTTGATTTGGCCTCTCTGAGACTCCGTTTTTCTCATCAGTGGGCTATCATGAGGATAAAACGAGATGACATGCGTCTTGTGCATAATTCCCAACATTCCAAGCATATTTAATAAACATGAGCTTGTGGGTCTTGCCTTCTGATTCTGATTTCTTAAAAAAAAGTATTGTGGCTAAGCTGGTCTGTTTTGGATCCCCACAGGCTTTGAAAAGACCAAGAGGTAATCCAAGTGATGTCTTCTCCCAGACTCATTCCCCTGTGGAAGGATTTTAAATACCTCCTAAATGACACCATAAATAGGAGAAAGGTAAGGCATATATAGGACATAAACTTTAGGTATTGACTTCTGTTTTATACTTACCAGTACTTTAGAAGAGACATAGATTTTCCATGGTAGCAGGAAGCAAACAAAGACAATGATCACCTTACTTGAAAATGGACTATCCGTTTCCAAATGGGTTCAGGAACCTCTTGCAAGGCAATTTTGATAGAAGAAGGTGACCCTTTTGGAGCATTGTCAGACTTTCAGTCCCTTGAAGAGATCGAAAAGAGGAAGAAGGCACTAGAGGGAAAATATGCCAAACTCAGTTTTGCCATGTTTGGCTCTCTATAAAAGGATCCAACATGCTCTATCACTGTGGAATAATATATAGTGTTGCTGTTGTTAAGTGCTGTTGAGTTGAATCTGACCCATAGTGACCCTGTATAAGGTTTTCAAGGAGTGGCTGGTGAGTTTGAACCACTGACCATGCAGTTCAAACTGACTTTATGGTTGAGTGCTTATCCTACAGCGCCATACCAGAACTCCAAACGCGATGAAATATGTCTTATGCATAATTCCTAATATGCCTAAAATGAGTGTCCTAAAAGCCTTGCTTAGTGCCCTTTTCAAGCTTTAATAACTGGAAGCTGTAATAACTATTAGAACACCCTGTCATATGTGGGTGGCATATTTACCTAGGTAATTCAATGAAATGTTTTCCCTTTTATGATCTATGTACCTTTTAGACACAAGGGTAAGAATCTCTGGTAGTGCAATGGCTAATGTGCTCAGCTGCCAACGAAAGGTTGGTGGTTCAAACCCACCAGCTGCTCTGCAGGAGAAAGATGACAGTATGCTTCTGTAAACAGTGACCTTCGGAACCCTACAGGACAGTTCTACTCCCTATGAGTTGTAATTGACTCAACAAATGGGTTTGGTTTTCCATTTTGTTTTTGTAGACACATAGAATGCTAGAGAACAGGTATAACACTAACTTCAGAGTTGGAAAAGGCATGGGTTTTCCCCTATGCTCACACGATACAATTTGCTCACATAGGTCCCATAGGGGTTTGACTTTCTTATTTGCTAAGGTGTCACACAGGTGGTAACTTGTGTATGTGTGGATGTGCCAGGAATAGTCAATTGGGTGTCTCCAAGTGTGACTTGTGTGAGAAGATGTGAAGAGCAGGCATAGCGTGGCCTCTCAGTCCAGGCCATGTCTCTCCCCAGGATCCTCTAGACGACTTGAAGACTGAAGTTGTTGTGCTGAGTGACCGTTCTCAGATACTGTTCAAGGAGTCTCGTCACCCTCAAAATATGCCACGTATCTGCTATTACTTCAGTGATGCCCACTTCTTTGCCTCTCTTTCTTGGGTGTCATCAAGCATGAAAGAAATACAGGTAAAACTGCCAAGTCTTTCTTCTCCTGAGCCCGTTCTATAGGGGTCATGTCCATGTAGCTCTGACCTCATGTTTATTAGGGAAAATATGCCCCAAATTCATATCCTTGAATGAAAATGACCCGATTCAAGGGTTCCCCCTCATTCTTTCTCCAGTTATAATTTCCATATCGAATAGAATTTATGGTCCCCCCCAAAGCAGGCCAAGGTTAAGGACCGAATCCTAAGCTTCCTGCTTCTATATTTCCAACGTCCATTACCGTAGGATAAAAAAATCACCCTCTAGTTTTCCAATACCTCTTTAACAGAAGAACAGGAAATGGTAGCTGAATACTCTGCCCTTCCTTCCTCTACTATGATTTACAGACAGTTCCCATCTTATTGTCTTCTAGGCTGTAGTATGGATGAGGAGCAAAGGCGAGGAAACGGTTGAGAAGAGAGTCTTTTCCATGACTGAACGATTACCACCCATCCAGTCCATGGTCCACACTGGTCCCTTTCACATCCTTGTGGTCTACTGTGGTGACCTGTGCCTGAGGCTCTTTGGGGACCACTTTCGGTCATTCAAATCCCTGTGTGTAGTACCCTGCCGCTTCAACATTTCCTGCCTCTGCTATGACCCAGAAATGAAGATGCTTCTGTCAGGTGTCCTGGGAGCCGTGGTCACCTGGATCATCGAGCGAAGTGGCAAGGGCCTTCAGATAGCCCACGTGGTTTTCATGCCTGGTGATGAGCTTGTCCAGGACATCATCCTGAATGGTCCTAATGGCTCCCTCCTAGCCCTGTGTGAGACTGTGGTGAGGGTCCTGGAGCGTCAAGGCCATGGCCAACTAGAAGAAGTCAACAGGTTCGTGTCCACCAGCAGTGGCTCCTCCATCACCTGCTGCTTTACCTGTTCTGATCAAGGTCTCCTGTATGCTGGGAACAAGACGGGGGAAATCCAAGCATGGAACCTCAACCGGGCTCACTTCATCCATAGTTTCAAGGCCCACTTTTCATCAGTGATATGTATCCATAGCCGGCCGGAAGCCCATACCCTGCTAACAGCTGGCTGTGAAGGCTTAATCAAGGAGTGGAACCTGACTTCTGGAAGTCTGCTGCGGCGGCTAGAACTAGGCGAGAGCTTGCTCCGTCTCCACTTTATTGATGATACTACTTTCTTCTCCCAGACTGCCCATAGTTTTTCCTTGCGCCGTATACCATGCTTCTATAGCCTTTTCAGTGTTTGTGGTTCTACTCCCTTGCAGGTGCGTCGCGTCTGCTGTGGAAATAACTGGTACCGGATCGTGTGCACCACTGAGGATGGCTTGTTGCGTTTTGTGGCCCCACAAACAGGGGATCTCCTACTTCTCACCTGGCCTTTCTCAATCCTGGACCAGACAGTGGATTGGGCCTATGACCCAGATAGAGAGGAGCTTTTTGTGGCGACAGGCAGCTCAGAGGTGTTGGTATTTGACACAACACGCTGCCCTTGTCCAACCAAGTATATCTTAAGCACCTCACCAAATTCTCAGGACTTGGTACAATGCCTGGCTTATGGGACTTTCCACTTGGGTCGAGGTCTAGAAGGACTGATGTTCTCTGGGCACCGGAGCGGTGTGGTAAGAGTACTCTCCCAGTACAGCTGTGCCCGAATAGAGAAATTCATGCACTTTGGGGCTGTATTGGCCCTCTCTACTCTGGCAGGAGGGTTTTATACTGACCAAGAAAACTCTTTGCTCTGTTCCTATGGAATGGATGACTATATACAACTATCAGAGGCTGTGTTTGACGGGACTAGATTATATCTACAACCTCTCGCCAGCGTTCTTAGCAGCTGTCCCCTAAGACACCTGATACTCTTGCCCAAGTCTGTGGGTGCCATCACAGAGACTAACTGCCTACGTCTCTGGAAGTTCCATGACATCCTGTCCTCTGAGTCACAGAAAGGCTCTGTGTTCATAGAGACATTGCCTCTGCACCAGTGCCCCATCACATCCTTTGATGTCTGTCTGTCCCTGAGTCTTTTCGCCACGGGTGGTATTGATGGTTCTGTCCGGATCTGGGATTTCCATGGCAGGCTCATAGCCATGCTGGATTCATCATTGCATTTTGGCCCACTCTGCTTTGCAAACGACCGGGGCGACCTACTTGTGACTTTCAACCAGAGTCTTTATCTGGTATCTTGTTTAAAATTGCTTCCTCCAAACATGCTAGTTCGCCTTTCCTTTATGAGCATAACAGATGAAGAGTTAGAAACCCCTAAGCCTTTCCTGCCAAGCTTCTTCTTCTCCTTTGAGATCATGTTTGTACCCAAGTATGTCTACCTGGGACAAGGGAAACAGGAATTAATGGGCCTGCAGAGACTTGTCAATAGGCGGGCCATTGCCTTTGACCATACTGTACCACATGTCATAGAAGAAGAGGAGGAAGGGGGCATCCTATTGCTGTCTACCCGCAAACATGATTCTTTGCAGGAGAAGGATACTAATTTGCAGGTGAATGACCAAGGTTACCATTCCCACTATGTGGTTCCTCCCCAACTACAGATGACTGGCTGGGATGGACTCAACCCCTATAAGATATTGCAATACTATTTTGGTCATGGACGGAAATGGTTCTTTGCCCCTGATGGCTACATCCCCAATTCGGTGATCCGTGCCCGTCTTTGGCCAGAGGGCAGCCCAATATACTTACAGTGTAGCCTGCACCCACCCCAGCGGGAATTAGAATGGGACAGAACTCATCAGTTCTTTTTCTGGCACAGTAGGACAAGAGCTATAAGCAATGTGGAAGGAATTGCACAAGAGAAGGAGGATAAAAGCTTCATAGGGATGAGAATGTCCAAGGACATAACCTACAACGTCATTACAGAAACAGCAAACCGCAGTTGGCTGGGAAGAAAGATGAGTGAAATAGCTATTAATAGCCTGATTGAGACAATCCTCAATATTATGAGCCATGCATCCCCATTGAAGTTCCAATACTGTGTTGGTGCGCTAGGGCAAATCTTTGCCTCTTATCAAGTGTCTCCGTCCCTGCGCTCTGAGACAGCCCATTGCCTTCTGGATGATACAGCCAATTCTAACCCACAGATCAGAGAACTAGCCTGGGAAGGGCTGAAGCGCCTAGGGATGATTACTCACCTGTTCGCCATCCCTCTAGCCCAAGGATTGATGGACAAGGACCAAAGGGTGAGGAATAAAGCCCTGAACCTCATGGATGAGACTGGAATTCACTCTAAGTCTTCTCTCTTATGCTTGATCCAGAACCGAGAAACTTTCCGGGACATGCAGTAAGTTGTTTATTCTTTCCTCAGTTCTTTACCAGCTTCTAATTATGGTTTCTTCCCTTTACCCAGTTTCCCCCTGTTCCTTCCCTTGCTCTCTTTTCATCCCTGTTTATTAACTCTTTCTGCTCTTTCATGACTTTTACTGTTCCTAGAGTATCCTGACAATTCCCCATGACCACTCACTCCACCCTCCATTTCCTCTCCTATATCTGTCTACCCTCGGCATCTCCAACTTCCTCTTAACCTCTTTCTTTTCCCATCTAACTGCCTTCACTGCAGCCCACATATAGATCACTCCATTCCTTACCACCTTGGCCTCCTAAACGTCCTCTTTCCTTTTAGCCATCTACAGGATAATGCACTAGACTCAAAGGTTGGTTTGAACCGCAAGGTCGGTGGTTCAAACTCACCAACCACTTCTCAGAAACCCTATACAGGGTCACGATGAGTCAGAACTGACTCGATGACAAAAACAACAACAAACGTATGCTGTCCTTCCTGGCTACTTTGCTGAGCCCCCTGCCTGTTCTAGTTCTTTCCTTCTCATGCTCCCTCTTGTCCCTGATTCAGTATGGTCCGTTCTCTCCTTTGACTTTTACAGGCAGGAAATGATTGGGGAGGAATCTTTGGACCACCTGCTGGGGATGCGGGCAGCAGATCTTCAAATCCTTCTTACTCAAGTGTTGCAACGGCTGAATGAAGACTTGACCCTGTCACATGGAGTTGAAAGGCCTTCTTTTTCTTTGCATGTCTCAAAAGGTTCTGAACTGAAGTTCTATGAAAAGCAATCTCTCAGTATTCCTGAAGAACCTGAAGTGGTCACCAAGCCCAGCAAAGGCCAAAGACGGGGCCGAGCTGGGGGAAAAAAACATAGTATGTATGGGGTCCATGCTTCAGGGGCCCTAAGAGGCAAGGAAGTTAGGGCTCAGGTGAATCAAAAGAAATCAGTGGAAAGATCTTTCCACAGAAAGGAAAATTTCTAGGAAGATTTATACAAACTCAATTAGACTCCAAGGTCTATCACTCTAAAAATTGGTCGGACTGGGGATAAGGCAGTTACTGTTAGCTCACACCATATTTCATGAATACTTTTATTTAAACTTTCCCTGCTTTCCTTACCTGCATCTCCTGATTTTCCTGGCAGCCCGAAAGTTGTTGCGGAGTCTCAAGAAGCTAAAAGAGGGAGCCTCAGAACAGATTATCACAGAGCCAAGTCCCTTAGAAGATGAAAGTGATCAGAGTGAAGCTGTGCCAATTGAGGTGGAGGATACAGCCAGAGTGTTTTTACCCACAAGTACGGTAAAGACTTTAAAAGAGGTTGAGGAACCTATCGAGAAAGAGCCGTCAAAAGAGCATGTTGTGTTGACCCTAAAGATGCTGAGGAAAATACATGACAAAAAGGACAAGAAAGTTACTGATCAGAAACCCATTAAAAGGTCTAAGAAGAAGACAAAAGAAGCTGAGGTGATAACTGAGGCATTGGAACAACCTCCCATACCGGAAATACCAATTATAAAGAAGATTAAACCCACTGGGCGGGGTGCCTCTGGAGTGCCTGGCCACAAGACTACCACTGGGGATGGCTCATCATGGAGGGATGATCTGTGTCGTCTCATGGCCCTGAGGATATCTGGTTCCCAAACCAAAATGTCAGACGCTCTAAGCACTGAAGTAGTAACCATGGCTCAGGAGTTGCTGGTAGACCAACACCCCAGCTGGGAGTTCTTCCAGGAGCTCTGCCCCCTTTTAAAGAAGAAAAGCGAGGCTCTCCTAGAGGATGTTGAATGGGATGTAGCCTGGCCAGAGGAGAAACCAATTTTTATCCATGAAGAAGCAACTACAGAAGACATGATACTCATGGATGAGGAAGAAGAGATCTCAGAGAGGCAAGTGCAAGAAGAAACAAGGGACATGCAAGAGTTACAGGAGACTCAGGTGGTTACAAAGAAAGGCAAGAAAAAAAAAGTTATATTTTTAGAACCAGGTGACCTAACTAAGGGAAAACGAATATTAAGGAAAGAAGTGAAGAAATTCCCTAAGAAGTCTTCTAAGCGAGAGAGGAGACTAGTCCAGCAGGAAGTAAAAGTGGGTAAGGAAGAGGAGGAAATGACCAAAGAAGACAGAGACCTGAGTGAGGACGTGAGCGAAATGGTAGAGCCAGAGTGGGAAGTTGACCAAGAAGAAAGACCAGTTGTGGATGAGAGGAGTCTGGCTTGGCAAGAATGGAAGAATTCCTGGGATCAATGGAAACAGATTCAAGACGAGAAAAAGATATCTTGGAATGAATGGAAGCAAGCTTGGGATGCTTGGTGTTATCAACATGGGTTTGAAGAGAACCTCTTCCCAGAGGAGGAAAAGGTGGGTGTGGACAAGAGGAGGCTAACATGGAATGAATGGGGACAGCTTGTGGAAAAAAATTTGTTTTCCAGGGCCAAGGAGCAACTTTCTGAGGATAAGGAAAAATTGGCCCTGGAAGAAGAATCACCTCTGGAATGGGAAGAAGAGCTGGTCACAGAAGAGCAGAGACATATTCAGGAAGAACAGAAACAGGCCTGGGAAGAGAGGAAACGAGCCCAAGCAGAAAGAAAACGAGCCAAAGAAGAGAAGAAACTAGCAGAAGAAGAAGAGAAACTAGCACAAGAAGAGAGAAAACTGGCCCAAGAAGAAAAAAAGCTGGCCCATAAATTTGGAGAATTGGCCATGGAACAGGTAGAGAGGAAACTTGCCCAGAAAGAGGAAAAGCTGGCTCAAAGAGAGGAGGATCTAACTCAGGAAGAAGAGAAATTGGCTCAGAAAAGGAAGAAAGTGGCCAGGAAATGGGAGAAATTGGCCCAAGAAGAAGAGAAACTAGCAAAGAAAGGGGGGAAACTGGCTGAGGTAAAAGCGAGATTGGTTCAGGAAGAGGGAAAACTGGCCCCAAAGGAGAAAAAGCTGACAAAGAAAGAAAATGAATTGGCCAGGGAGTTGGAGAAGCTGGCTCAGGAAGAGGATGAACTGACTTGGAAAGAAGAAGAACTGAATCAGAAAAAGAAGAAACTGACTGAGAAAAAAAAGGAACTGCTTAAGGAAGAGAAGAGACTGATCTGGCAAGAGGAGGAACTTGATGAGGAAGAGAAAAGAATTATTAAAGAAGAAGAGCTGCTGATCCAGGAAGAGAAGAAACTGGCTCAGAGCAAGGTAATGACACCTGAGGAACAGAAAAGACTGTTACAGAAAAGGATGCAACTGGCCAATAACAAGGAGAAGCTGTTTCAGGAAAGGGAAACTCTGTACCAGGACCAAGAGAAATTCATGCAGAACAAGAAGATACTAGCCCAGAAGGAGACAAATCTGGCCCAAGAATATGCAAATTTGGCTGAAAAGAAGAAAGACTTGACTCAAAGGAAAGAGACTCTCCTCCAAAACAAAGACAAAATCACCCAGAACAGAGGGAAATTAGATGATATAAGGAAGAACCTGGACAAATACAAGGGAAAAATTATTCAGTTAGAGGAGAAGCTGATAAAGGAAAGGGAGATAATTACCCAGAAGAAGGAGAAAGTAAATCGTATAGAAAAGAAACTGGCCCAAAAAGAAAAAAGTGTGGCTGAGAAACGGGAGCAACTAGCCCAGGAAAAAATGAAACAAGTTGTGGAGAAGAGGGCAATGTTTCAAGAAAAGAAACTATTCAAAGATGAGTGGGATATTGCTAAGGAAGAAATGGCATTGAGTGTGGAAATGATGAAACTGGCCAACGAGAGGAGACTGGCTGAGGAAAAGGCAACTCTAGTAAAGGGAGAGACTCAAGGAACCCTTAAGCAGAGGACACAGACGGATGACAACCTAGAAATGATTAGGAAAAAATTTTCCCTAGAAGAGAAGGTATTAATACACAAAGCTAGGGTATTGGCCACAGAGGGCAAGGACATTGCCAAAAGAGAATTGGAATTGCTCAGAGGGAAAAGAGCATATGCTCATGAAGAAAGGAAGTTAGCCAAAGCAACAAGGAAATTGATGAAAGAAAAGGGACACTTTCCTACAGACAGCAGTGTGTTAAAGGTACTTCAAAAACTAACCAAGGAAGAAAGGGAACTAATACAGAAAGAAATAGAGATGACAAAGATCAGGAGGTTACTCTTTGCTAAGGAGAGGAACTTAAATAAGGAACAGAATAAACTCGATAAGAAAGAATGGGATTTTTCTAAGACACAATTAGAAATGACCAAAGATGAGAAAAAACTGGCTCAGAAGCAGAGAAAACTAACCAGGGAAGTGAGAAGATTGATCAAGAAAGAGGAAAAAATACTTGAGAAAGAAATCCAATTGGCCAAGGAAAACAGGGAAGTCACAAAGGAGAAGGAGAGAGTAGTAGAGGAAGAAAAAGTAATCCCATTCCCTACAACAAGGTGGAGAATGAGAAAACGAAGAAAGAAAGTTGACATACTAAAGGAAGAGTTTCCCTTTCAAGTAGATCATGTGGAAAGTGAAGAGAGTTTTTCTGAAGAAATGGAAAGCCTTTTGCAAGAAGTTGAGCATGAAAGTTTGTCCGAGGAGGAGGAAGAGGAGAAAAGCAAAAGCGATGATGAGGACGAGGAGGAGGAGGAAGAGAAGGAAGAAGAGAGGGTGGAAAAGGAGAAGAAAGAGAAAGAAGAGAAAGTGGAAAAGGAGAAGAAAGAGACATGGAAGGAGGAAAAAGAGGAGGAGAAGGAAGAAGAGGAGGTGGAAGAAGAGGAAGAGGAAAGCATGAGTGAGGAGGAAAAGGAAAGCATGAGTGAGGAGGAGGTGGAAAGTTTGAGTGAGGAGGAAGAGGAGAGAAGCTCATTTGAAGAAGAGGGGTTCAGGGGAAAAGAGATCTTTAAAAAAGAAAATGAACTATTCAAGTTACAAAAAGAAAAAAAAGAAGACCTAAGAGGAAGGGGAAAAATCCTTTCTGTTGGAGTAGAGGACACAAGCAGTGCTATCAAAGTGGGAGTCCCCCAAGAAAGTCCCCCCAGGAAACGGATCCCCATAACTCTGGGGAGGGAAGAGAAGGTGTCAGTGCCGGTGTCAAAGGAACAGATATTCTGGGAAGATGAAAAGTCCACAATACCGGAGATGCCCAAGATATTCTCAGAGATAAGGTTAAAGGATAAGCAAAAAGAACTGTTGGAGAAATTGAAGACTATATCTCTGCAAGTTTTAGATACAGTTGTGGAGACCCAAGAGCAGGACTTAAAAACCCCAGGCATGTCCTACATATTTGGGAAAACCATGGAAGCTCGGAGACTCCAACCCAAACCATCAGGTCCCAGGTGGAAGTGGTTTTTGCAGCATCATAGATCGCTAATGGGGCAGACTGATGTACACTTACCTGTCCCTCAAGTCCTAGGTAAAGAACAATCTTCACAGGTAAGTCTTTCAGATGTAGAGTGGATCCGCTATGTCCTGGAACGGATGGAAGCAGGAGAGCAACTTTCCAGGGAGAGTTTCCACAGACTGTCCCACCTCCTCCAAGACCTCACCTCAGAGGGATATCGAGAGTGGATCCATCTGGCCAAACTTCAGACTATTGTGTGCTGCCACAAGCAGGCCCTGGAATCGCAAGGCACAGCTATCCCCAAACCAAGTAAGACTATCATGGGTCCAAAACACGTGAAAGTGATCCCTCCTATCAAAGAAAAGGAAAAGAAGATTCCAGATTCAAAGACTATAAAGTGGCATCAGGCTCAGGAGCTATCCAGTGCTCTCAGTGAGGTGGAGATGCAATATCTTTATCCTGCCACAGGTGGCCGTGCCTTGATGGACAAACAAACCCAACCGCTGATATTTCAAAAGGATTTCTGGACATTAAAGGGTAAGAGCAGGCTTCCCAAATTGGAGAAGGTACAACCCATTGCTAAAAAAAGGGCAGAGGTGCCTAAATGGGAAACATTTGTGGCGTTGTACCATGTTTTGCGGATGTTGCAGCAGCAATATGCAAATGACAGTAGTGCTTGGATGGAAAATTTCTACCAGCTCATGGACCTGTACCAACTTAAATCCCCCCGAATCCAGAGGCTACTGCAGGATCTGCTACTGAGACCGAAGCCCCAGCCCCAACCTGTCATCTACAAAGATGCCCTAAAGGCCATGGAGCTAGTTCCTGGGGAGCGGTTGCTCTACTGCCTGTTTTGTGGTGGTTCTCACAATCCTGCAGGTCCTCTTAAGTTCCAGGAGGTGGTGTCACTCCCGGGCCAGAACAATGTGCGCACCATTCTTCCCGTGGGCATTGCCCACTATGGGATCTTAGAACTTGCCTGGAAGAGCCTACCTCAAGCTGACAGTCACCTCACCAAGGAGTTTGCCCTACATTGTCACTCCCACCCTGTAATTTGGGACTGACCGATGATGTCTGTCAGGACTTTACATGTTCAATTGAAGAAAGGGGTGGTCACCAGAATCTAACTCTTCATATGCACAAAGATATGACCAGGCCAGGACCTGTTCCCCTCCTAGCTCTAGAAACCACCTTCTGTATTTGGAATAAAGAGGAGGTTCTCATTTTCAACAAATATTTTGGTGTATCTCTTGTCCCCAAACTTTGGTTCATCGGGGAAATCAGATACTCCCATTTTCCTGAGAGTGGGAAAAGTTTCCAAAATCCAACGGTGCTCTCTTTGTGGAGTCTTTGAGGCAAAAAGAGTATGTTCTTGCTCCTGATTTTCCTTTCTTCCCACCATCCTCCCTCAAAGACTCTGAGAAGGAAAGCACCTCACAGAAATGCCAGTGTATATTTGGCACTAGCATAATGAGGGCTGGTAAAGTGGAGAGAGAGTGGAATCAGATGACTCAGCATTTTGTCCCTTAGTATTTGGAACTGTAAGTGGGGCTGAGAGGCTGACTCTATTTCATTGATCATAGATAGCTCTGCATGTTGGTGTCTTGAGTCCCAAACAGCAGGTATGATGGGCGATGAAGAGACTCTCAGAGAAGAAAAAATTTCTACAAGTTCTAGTTAACACCACCTGGTGACTTTATCGCTAGATGCCACTGAGGTTAAAGCAAAAAGAAAGGGAAGGAAACTTATGTTTTTCACTTCCTTCCTTACCACTTGGACATGGGGTTTGGGGAGGGTGATGGGATGAGAATTTGGAGACTAGGTATAGGCTTAATTGTTGTTGCTGTTAAAGAGTTGATTCTGACTCATAGCGACCCTGTATAGGGTTTCTAAGGATTGGCTGGTAGGTTTGAACCACCAGCCTTGTGGTTCGCAGTCCAATGCTTATCCTACAGTGCCACACTAGGACTCCAGGCTCAATTAGGTCCCCCAATTTTCTAGAAACTATGATCCTTCCCTCTAGTAATGAAGGAAACAAGAGATATATGAAGAAAGATAGTAAAGTGAAGGAAATTGTCACTGCCAGGAATCCTGTTCCTCCCCTGATCGCCTTTTCCCACCACGGAAACCTCAGAACAGCTTCTTGCCATTTCTCACCGTACCCCCACCTCTCCCTTGTTATTTTACTCCTTCCACCCATTTTTGCTTAGAGGGAGAAACAGGTGGTAGAGGGCAAAAAAGTATTCTGGGCAGTAGGATTCATCTTAGAAACCAAGGGCAATGTGAAGCTTGGCTCTGCATTTGGGCTCTGCCATATCAGACCACGTGTCAGGACACAGAGAGCAAGTGAGAGCTGTGAGCTGTGGTCAGGAAGCCTCAAAAAGAATGGTTAGCCTGAACAGGGCAAAGCAGCAGAGATAGGGGTAGCCCAGCTGGGTCTACAGCCTTGACCTCAGTACTTTCTCTTTTGTGACCTCTGTTTACTTGCTGATGTAAAAAATGGGACAATACACAAATGACAAATATCAGGTGTGAAAGAGGGAACCTCACTACAGATCTTGAAGACATTAGAAGGATAGTAACTCAATTGCTATGAACAGCTTCATGCCCACAATTTTGAAAACATGGAGATGAAATGGAAAAGTCTAGAAAGGGAAATAGCAATGTCTGATTCAATTTGCAGGCTATCAGTGGTCTGGTGGACTTTGTGGGGTAAATGGGGTTTAATGGGTTTTCTGGTCAAAACAAACAAAACAGGGTGGATTGTCTCTTGTGGTTTCAGAGTCAGGAAGTCTATGGATGGCTCTTCAAGGGGGCCTCAGATCCTGGGTCTGGGATGTGACAACACATCATCCTGTCTTTTTTCAGAATGGCAGAGGACAGGGAGCTGTTTGTATTTTCTTTTTATTATGAAAAAGTTTACACCACTCCTCTGTCAGTTTGTTGGACTGTGATGGCTTGCCTGTGGCTGCGATGCTAGAAACGGTGCCGCCAATATTTTACATACCAGCAGGGTCACCCAGGATGGACAGGTTTCAGTGGACCTTCCAGACTAAGACAGACTAGGAAGAAGGAGAGACGGACCACTTTGGAATGTTTAGCCACTGAAAACCTTATGAATAGCAGTGGAACACTGTCATCACCAGTATATTGACTATTGAAATATGATGACTAGCACCAAATTATTATCAGATATAGGGCTGGAAAATGAGCACTCAGGTTGGAAGGCACTCTAAAATACAACTGGGGAAGAGTTGCCTTTTCACAGTAGAGATTACCGTGATGACATGAATAGAGTAAAGTTTTCAGGACTTTCATTTGCTGATGAGGCACAACTCAAAATGAGGCGAAACAGCTGCAAGCATCCATTAATAACTGGAACACGGAATGTAGGAATCTAGGAAAACTGAAAGTTGTCAAAAATGAAATGGAATGCATACACATCAGTATCCTAGGTATTAGTCAGCTGAAATGGACTGGTATCAGCCATTTTGAATCTGACAATCACAAAGGTTATTATGCCAGCAATGTCAAATTGATGAAGAGTGGCGTCACAATCATCATCAAAAAGAACGTTTCAGTATCTAGAAGTATAATGCTGTCTATGATAGGATAATATCCATATGCCTACAAGGAAGGCAGGTTAATGCCACTATTTTTTTTTAATACCACTATTATTAAATTTAAGGAGCTCCGGTAGCATAGTGGTTATGAATCGGGCTGCTAACCTCAAGGTCAGCAGTTCAAAACTACCAGCCATTCCGCGGGAGGAAGATGAGGCTTTCTGCTCCTGTAAAGGTTTACAGCCTCGGAAACCCTGTGCAGGGTCACTATGAGTCGGAACAGACTCCACGGTACTTAACAACAACAACAACAACATTATTAAATTTACACACCAACCACTAAAGCCAGTGATGATGAAATTGAAGAATTCTACCAACTTCTTCAGTTTGAAACCGATCAAATATGTAATAAAAATGTACTGATCATCACTGGTGATTGGAACGCAAAAGTTGGAAAGGAGGAGGAAGGATCAGTAGTTGGAAAAAATGGCCTTGATGATAGAAATGAAGTTGGATATCACATGATAGAATTTCATAAGACCAATGACTTATTCATTGCAAATACCTTTTTTAAAACAACATAAAATATAACTCTACCCATGAATCCTATGAGATGGAATAAATAGAATCAAATTGACTACATCTGTGGAGAGAGACGATGGAAAAGTTCCATATCACCAGCCAACACAAGGTTGACTGTGGAACAGACCATCAGTTGTACATATGTAAATTCAGGCTGAAGCTGAAGAAAATTATAAGTCCCTGAGAACCAAAATATGACCTTGAACACCACCTGCCTGAATTTAGAGATCCTCTCAAAAATAGATTTGATGCATTAGACACTAGTGACCGAAGACCAGAAAAGTTGTGGGATGACATTAAGAACATCATACAGGAAGAAAGCAAAAGTCACTAGGAACACAAGAAAGAAGGAAAAGGTCAAAATGGATGTCAGAAGAGACTCTGAAACTTGCTCTCCAGCGTAGAGAAGCTAAAGCAAATGGAAGAAATGAGGAGGTAAAAGAGCTGAACAGAAAATTTCAAAGGGAAGCCCCAGAAGAGAAAGTCAAATATTATAATTAAATATGCAAAGATCTGGAGTTAGAAAATGAAAAGGAACAAACACTCAGTATTTCTGAAGCTGAAAGAACTGAAGAAAAATTCAAGCCTCAACTTGCAACATTGAAGGATTCTATGGGCAAAATATTGACTGATGCAGAAAGCATTAAAAGAAGATGAAAGAGTTTTCAAGAGGGAACCTAGATCCAGAGGGCATGGAGAAAGGTAGAGTCTCCACTGAGTAGTATCCAATCTGTCTAGGCGGGGCTGAGGAAAGGAAATGCGGTTAGGTATCTTGTAATACAATAGTGAATAATTGTTATCAGGACTGATTGTGATGGTTGGAAATGTAAAGGTAGACGTTTTGTAGCAAGGAGGGGAGTGATTAACTTTTCAGTCTAGGATCGGAGGTCTCTGGGACCATCAAGGGAGAAGAGTGGAGAGCGGGACCGTACCTAGAGTAGCAGTGATGCCTGAGTTGGAAGCAGAGACGATGACGTGGAGAGATGGAGCAGCTGGGGACATTAGACACAGAGAGAGGGGCTGTGTGCTGATGACCGGGGGGCAGGCTTGTAGTGTATACCCTTTGGTTGGTTGATGATGCATGGAGGGGATTGTAACTGATATACAGTAGGATGAATATAAAACTAATGTTCTCCCATGTAAACTATCATGTAATTCACAAAAAAATCTTAAAAATAAAAGATGAAAGGAATAAAACAGAGTCACTGTACCACAAAGAAATGTTCGGTGTTCAACCATTTCAAGAGAGAGCCCATGATCAAGGAGGAAGAAGTCTGAGGTGCACAACAACAGAAAACCAGTGTATTAAGACTCCCCCTTCCCTTCTTCCTCCCTTCCCTGTTGTGTGCTACAGTCAATTTCTACTCAACCTACCCCTATTAACCACTCATAAACATTGGTCTCTATTGGTGGTGGTGGTGTTGAGTGCCATCAAGTCGGTTCTGACTCATAGCAACTCTGTATAGGGTTTCTGAGGAGCGGCTGGTGAGTTTGACTCGCCGACGTTCAGTTCAAAGTGACCTTGTGGTCCAGTGCTTATCATAGAGCACCACAATTGGTCTCAATAGTTTTGACTGTTTTATGTGAGTGGGATTATACAATAGTTCACCTTTTGTGACAGACTTATTTCATAACGTTTTCAAGATTTAGCCATATTGTAGCATATATCTTTATGGTAGATAACAGCCAATTGTCTGGATGTCACATTGTATTTGTCCACTCATCTTTTGATGGACATTGGGGTTGTTTCCTCATTTGGTGATTGTCAACAGTGCTGCAATGGGCATGGGTGGACACGTTTTGGATGTCATGGTTTTCAACTCTTTTTGATATGTACCTAGGACTAGGAATTCTGCATCATAGAATACTTCTGCTTAACCTTTTGTTGGCCCTCTGAACTTTTCCATA